CAAGTGCAGGACCTGGCACTTAGCCCTGTTAAACATAGCGTTGGCCTCAGCCCATCAATCCAGCCTTTCCAGATCCTTCTGTAGACCCTTCCTACCCTCAGGCAGATCATCACTCCCACCCAACTCGGTGGGACCTGCAAATTTACAGAGGGTGTAGTCAATCCTGTCATCCAGGACATTGATAAAGATGTTAAACAGAACCAGCCCCAGTGCTGACCCCTGGGGAACACCACTTGTGACCGACTGCCAACTGGATTTAACTCCATTCACCACCAATCTTTGGGCATGGCCATCCAGTCAGGTTTTTAACCAGCAAAGAGTGTGCCCATCCTAGCCCTGAGCAGCCAGTTTCTCCAGGAGAATGCTGTGGGAAATGGTGTCAGAGGCTTTACTAAAGTCTGGGTAGACAACATACCCAGCCTTTCCCTTGTCCACTAAGTGGGTCGCCTTGTCATAGAAGGGGATCAGGTTTGTCAACCAGGACCTGCTTGTCATAAACCCATGTTGACTGGGCCTGATCACCTGGTTGTCCTCTGTGTGCCATGTGATGGCACTCAAGGTGATCTGATTCTTAGAACTGTTGTTATGTGTAGTGGTTCATCCTACTGAAATACAGAAAACTAGTTTTTACTATAAAGCCTACTACAAAAAAAATCAAGTTAGATTATTTAATTGCTTGATTTGATGATGGATATATCTAGAGCCACCTCTATTTTATAACCTGTCAATTTTTTTTCCAGACCTGTGTTTTGTTTTACTGGCAGGTTAATTTTTCTTAAAATTTTGTTGGTGGTCACGACTGCCTAATATTTTCCCCTTGAACTATTCCGCCACTATGCGGGACTAATATATATGGACCTATTGTCACTAGTTAAGCATCTCCCATTCATTCATTTCAGCTTCTTACTGCACTTTTGAAATCCCAAGGTAAGATCTCATAGTGGAAGAATGAGGAATGAAATTACGCTCAAATTCAGCAGTGGTAGTGGCAGCAAACGCAGGGGCTCAAAAGATATTAATTGATTTATTACAAAATGAGAAAGCTGTGAAGACAGATATTGTCCGTATGGTAGGCGAATGCACTGTAGTTCTTGTACAGCTACACACTTTGGAGCACTTGCAGTTCTTTAGTGTTTAAAAATATATAAAACAAACAAAAAAACCCACCCCCAAAAAAAGAAGCAAATGCTTTTTCCAAAGTCCTCTAAATTTTTGTGTTTTGAAATTTAGAAGGAAAAGGTCAGAGATGTCAACAGGCTTCACCTTTTGGCGTATTTTGCTCTTAATTCTCTTCATCTTTGTTTCTTCTCTGCATTTTGAAATGTATTTGTCTTCTTTTAAAGAGTTTCAAATATACAGCAGCAGCTGGCCTTGCTAGACAACGAATCTTGGCCCGGAATGGCTGAAGCGGACAGGGACCGTCTTCAGCTCATCAAAGAAAAGGAGGCTCTTCTTCAGGAGTTGCAGCTCATCAGTCAGCAGAGACGATCCCCGGAAGACATTGCACGTTTGGAGGAAGAAAAAAGACGCTTGGAGGATGAAATTCAACGGGCTCGAGCGACGTCTGCTCATGGGGCCACTGAAAGGTTTGGAAACTTAAGTTGTTTTCTTACCTACTGTAAGATCCACATAGATAGTTTCAAAAGGAAGAGTAGGGAATTTCACTGTGTTTAAGAAACAGCAACAAAAAGTTTACTAGACTAATTTGCTTTCAAAAATGGAAGAGGCTGCTCCTGATTGCCATTATTAAATTGAAGTTTTCTGAAGGAGAATTAGTGGTGTAGACTCGCCAGTTCTCCTTTCATTCCTCTAAAAAGTCTGATTAGGAAGGAGAGATCAGAATAAAGTCACAAAAGACGCTTGGAAGAAGTCAGAGTGATATTCTCTTGATAATAAAGACCTGTAAAGAATAACAGTACCTGGACAGTGGAAGGCTTTTCTGTTTTTTGTTTGGTGGTGTTGTTGGGGTTTTTTTTTTTTTTTTGGTAGAGGTGTAATATTCAACTTGAAAATCATCAGAACAAAGGTAATTTCCTATATTTGGTTTCTGCCCTATAAGAGGAAAGTTAAATGATTATTTTTACTGCCCTTGGTATACAGTTTTTCCTTTTAATCTGCAGTCTCAGCAGTTGGAGCACATCCAAACTCTGACATTGAGAGAACATAGTGAACAGTCATTCTTGAAAACTTAAATTTAATATCAAGTTATATGTAAAAACAAACAACCCCCCAAATATACTAATGGAAACACTGTGTTTATTTCAAAGTTGCCCAGTTTTTCCTTTAGCCAAAGAAATGGACAAAACCTTTTAATCTTCTTGTTACCATAGCCCGCTTCCAGTGGAAGCAAGAAAGTACTTGTGCTTGTTTCCCAGACTTACTTGTCTTAAATGGTGGTAAAAACTCAGGTTTGACACTTCAGGAAAACTGCATGAACCAGCATTAATATGATCTGTGTAAATGTTAATATTTACATAATTAAGACACTTACAATATTTGGAAGTGCCTTCCATATAGAGATTTTGAGAACTTCAGTTCCTTTGAAAGGGCTTACCTCAGACAGAAAATTCAGGCGATTAAATAGAAAATTCACAGCCAGCCTACAGTTCAGTGTTCTATATTTTATAATTTTTGCGATATCGCTGCATTGGCTTTCCAGTTTAAATTGACAGAAAAGGGAGTTCACTTTACACTGCAGCGTAGTAAGTTTTATTTGTTGGTTTTGGGCTCTCAGGTTAGGTAGTGCATACTGTGTTGGCACGAAGGCCAAGCTCTTTTTCCATGTAGTTCATGCTGTGGAAACCAGCATTCCAGTGTGATACTTGATATTTCAAATGCTAGCAAAAAGTTGAGTAGAAGTTTGAGTAATAATGAAGGGCACTCTATTTTTGTATAACAAATTGGAGGAAAGCTTTACTGTTAGTAGCCCTTATTCATTTAGTTAGTTTTTAGGCTCAGGCATAACCAAAACCATTCCTAGTTCTGCTTTTCTATTCCCACTTTCTCCCACTGATCGTGAAAGACAAAGAAGTTTCCTTTTTAAATAATTACCAGTTCTGTTGTGTTACTGGGTTTTAAATCTCTGTGACAGAGGTGGGGTGTTACTGTTGGTGGGGACGGAGGGGTTTAAGATTGGCTGGCAGCCTTAGTCGGAGTCACCTCGTGCCCTTTAGCGCAGGTACCCTTACAGCATTGATGGCTCTGGAGTGTACGTTCCTACGTTTGTTTTTTAAGGCTCCTTGCACCACTTGGTTAATCTGGCTGGAGGGCCACAGAAGCAGGAGAAAAGCTTCAGCATTGCACGCGCTGGGGTGTGCAGCTTCTGCCGTGCGGTTGCAATGACGGAGCCTCCCCAGAGAGCGGTGGGGTTGCTGAAGCCGTGCGCTACAGCCCCTTGCCAGCATGTGAATTGTTGAAGTTGGAGGCCAAATCTGTTGAGAGATTTACGTTTTTACTGCTAATGGAGACTTTTTTTTTTTCATATCTTAACCATCCAAAGATTATTGAAACTCTAATACGGCCATTTTATTTCATCCAGAAGGACTCTCTTTTTGTTGATACTTGATAAAATAATCCTGCCCATTAAGGTGTTGAATTCTAACAGCTGTCCTTGCAGTTGAGGAAGGTCTGAAGCACTCAGATAAGTTGGATCTTCTTTCCCCACTGTCTGTCAGAATCCCAGTTTCCAGCCAACTTGTGAATGCAGGACTGGGGCAGTAAATTTCCTGGACATACCAATGTACAACAGAAAACAGATTACCACCTTGATTTTAGTTTGAAGTTCGGTGGTTGGGCTTGGAAAAACAAAACACCAGGGAAAGTTATAATTCTGGATTCAAGAAAAGAATAATTGTGATATCAACAGATTAAATCTATTCTTCAAAGTTTTCACAATTCCAGAATACAGAATTTAACATATCTTGATGAACAGTGTTTATAGGTACATTCCTTTTGTGTTGAGGGAGTGCTACTGGGTAATTCAATAGCTTGTTATTAGACTGGGGGGAAAAAAGTTTCAGTGAGAGATTTTTGTCGTAGCTTAATATTCAAAATGCTGTATCACCTGCTTAAACATAATGATACATAAATGTATTTGAAACACCTGGAATTAGAGGTTAAAGTTGAGTTTTAAGGTTACTGCTTAACAGAAGTCCTCCAAAACTTTTTATCTTTGAAATTTGACAATAATTGGCTTGGATAATAGGGCTATTTGGAGTATTTTTTTCCTGCCAAGGTGATGAAAGTCGTAGTAGTTCTCTGTACTTTACTGACACAACTGGGGGAAGGGGGAGACGGGAAAGAAAAATCTTGTGGAGTCTGTTTTTACCTAGGATTTGCAATGACTTTATCACGGAATCACAGAATGGTTTGGGTGGGACGGGACCTTAATCATCTAGTCCCACCCCCCCTGCCATGGGCAGGGACCCCTTCCACTAGACCAGGTTGCTCAAAGCCTCATCCAACCTGGCCTTGAAGACATCCAGGGATGGGGCATCCACAGCTTCTCGGGGCAACCTGTTCCAGTGCCTCACCAGCCTCTCCGGGAAGAACTTCTTCCTGATATCCAATCTAAACCTCCCCACTTTCAATTTAAACCCATTACCCCTTGTCCTGTCACTACAGGCCCTTGTAAAAAGTCCCCCCCAGCTTCCTTGTAGCCCCTTCAGGTACTGGAAGGTGCTATAAGGTCTCCCCGGAGCCTTCTCTTCTCCAGGCTGAACAAGCCCAACTCTCTCAGCCTTTCATCCTAGCAGAGGTGCTCCAGCCCTCTGAGCATCTTTGCTAATTGCTGTAATGTATTTTCAACAGCATGGCTCTTAACACTGTGCCTCAATTACTTTTCTTGTCTGTGAATTCTGCTGGAGTCTTGGTTCTTGTGTTCTTGCTGGAATTGCCATTGTTGCGTATGAGCTGCATAAATCAAGACTTTTCATTAAACAGTGAAACTTATTTTTATATTCCAAACTCCAGTGCAGTGATGTTTTTCTGTACTTGGGAAGCTCCTGGGACATCTTGAGCACTACTGTAATGAAAAAAACCCAGTAATATGTGTCTGTTTAATTATAGGATACTGTTACAGGAAAAGAGAAATTGTTTGCTTATGCAACTAGAAGAAGCTACACGTTTAACCTCCTATTTACACTCCCAGTTAAAAAGGTGAGTTTTGTAAAACCAGCAGGTTTTAATGGCAGCAGAGAAAAATATTGATAATCTATAAACTTTACCTTTTAATAGCTTTATATATGTGTGCCCAGTTAATTTCTTAATAAACTTATACAGTGTGGTCTGTGGAATGTGATGATATGGATGGAGTTTTATAAATAGTATTAGCAATGACTAGATTATTGTGTGTATTTGTGAATTTTGTTATCTTATATTCTGAAAAGAAGATACATATTTAAAATCCATTGTAATATTGTTACAGTTTTACTAATATGAAGATAATATTCTTTTAAGTTTGGTGAAGTTTTAATATTTTTACACCCTCTCCAAAGAAGGGTTTTTGATCCCTAGTGAGATGACAAAATTTTTCCATTTAAATGCGAGAATGTGCTAAGACCCAGACAGAAGCCCAGCATGTTTTGCATATTCACACTTGCAGCTGCCTTTTTAGATGCAGCTCTTGGGGATTCCTCAGCTCAATACCACATCAACATCAAAACCTCCGTTCCTGCTGTGTCTCATTTCATCTCTGTCACTTATATTCTTCCCACCCTAACTTGTCTGACATTCATCCTAAAGTCTCTTTTATTTTGCACTGGAAAAACCTGTGAGGATGAGGCTTACACAGCAGTGTTAGGGCTTTCCAAATCGCTTTGCACTACTTCTCCCTGGTATTTTTATGACCCATCATTTATGTAAATTCAAGCTGGATCATGGGGATATACCCTTCCTAGCTTTACGCTGAGTTCACTGATCCTGCTCTGGCCTCTTTTGTGCCAAATGATGGCTGCTTATGTGTTGGAGGAAAGAGTACGCTCATCCTCTTGGACCGTTCCATGATTTGGTTGTAACTTGGGCTGTTCCAGTTGTGGTTGCGCTTGAGACCAGGACAAGAGACACGAGCTAGGCCTTAAAATGCCAAATCATCTCTCCGTGTCACTGTACTGAACACATGTAAAATTGCTTGTGTAATCTGGATTGATGTCTTCATGTCTGCGCTGGTGTTTCTGATCACATTTGAAAGGACCGTTTTTGCTTTCTCTTTCCTTGTCTGCGTAGTCTGTCGGCTAGCACTCTCACGATGTCCTCTGGCAGCAGCAGGGGATCCCTGGCCTCCAGTCGAGGTTCCTTGGCCTCAAGCAGAGGCTCCCTCAGTTCGGTCAGCTTTACGGATATCTACGGCCTTCCGCAGTACGACAAAGCCGACGGTGTAACAGACTATGGGCAGCATTTGCGCTTCGACATAATTCCCTTCGAGTCTCTCACAAAGGATGTGCCATACGCTGATCCCATTGGACACTCGAATTTCAGTAAACAGCGGAGGTCTCTGGATACCCCGCAGTCCTTGGCATCCCTGTCATCGCGGTCCTCCTTGTCATCGTTGTCCCCTCCAAGCTCACCTCTGGACACCCCGTTTCTCTCTGCATCTCGAGATTCTCCCCTGGCTCAGATGTCAGAAGGTTTTGAGGAGATGGCCAGCATAGGGGCCCTGGAAATGCTCCGGGCTCCCACCGCAGTGCTGGGTGATGACGATACACAAGGAATGAGCTCATCTCAGACATCCACTTACCCTGTGGACACTGAAGGGCTGCGAGAAACAGGACCACAGCTGACTGCTGTCCAGACTGGTGGAGGTGAGCTTCTTGACATTCTTATTTTGTCAGATTATCACAGAAAATGTCACACAGACCTAAGCATACTAGCAGAGTAGAGATTGTTCCTCAGTTTGGCTTATATTACTTCCATTGGTTAAAAAACACATGGTAGATGTTAGCTGTTTAAAAAAAAAAAAATCAACCAAAAGAAACCTTCAAAACACCAACCTTTAGGTTTAGGGCAGAGGTGCAAGAGTAAAGAAATCATTGTAAATAGATCTTAAAGTGGTGAATTGGGTGGTAAATAGGGAATGGAATATGAACTTTCTTTGGAGTGTAGCACTTTGGGTCTTGGATTGGGAAGTAGTAAAAAAAACCCCACGTTTTACTTCTGAGGCCCCCCAGCTATGCCTGTGTTGCCATTATGCTGATAATTTTGAGCAACACAAACACAAGGAAAAAACAAAAAAATCCCAACCCCCCCGAAAAATCCAAACACAAAACCAGACATGAGGTGATGCTGCCAGGTGTGCTTGAAGGCTGTAGCTGACTCCATGCTGAATTTGTACACACCCCAGACCAGGTTCCCATGTCCAAGTTCTGCGATGGAGCAGAAGCCATGATGGCGTGGTGGTCACAAGTGCATGGTGCACTGTGCTCGTGAGGGGAGTGCTTCATCAGCCATGGAGCGGCTTCTGCAGGGGTGTGTGAGAGAAGTTCAGCATCCTGCTGAGCAGTTGTCTCAGAGAACCTGTGCTCTTTGATCAGAGGGGAGCGATGTGTGCGGTTACCGCGGCGCACAAACTGCTGAGTTTTCTTTTCCTGCTTGACTGTGAAGTTGGTGAACTTGCTTTGGCTTGCATTGGTGGAAGATTCTGAAGCACTGAAGTTGAGAAACATAAATTGGAGAGATCAAAAGAGGAAACAGAAACCTTGTTAAAAGAAACAAGACCAATTTAAAAACCTGCATGTGCATACAGGCACATGAGAAATTTCTCTTCTGTTTTAATCAGTCAAAGGAAGAACTGCTGTTTAAATAAAAATAAGTATTGCTTCTCGATGACGTTTTTCTGTGTTGGCTTGCTCATATTTCTAATGAAACCCTACCGGTGGAGAAGGGCCTTTAGAGAATATTTTCAATATTAAAGATTGTAATTTCCATCCCATTATCCATAATTCTTTGTTAGCAGTTGCTTGGAATGTTGCCTCCAGGACTTAGAATGCCAGGAGCAATCTGAAATGTAATCAGAGAAGCTATCATGTTATCCTACCAAATTCTTACTTGTCAAGTGATAATGAGAAGGAACATTGGCTGTATCTAAGGAAAAGCCTTCAGCTTTTTCTTTTTCAAAAAAACAAATGTCACCACTGTGCTAAAAAGCCTGTATTGCTCCAACAGCATTTGAGCCTAGACTCACCTACTTTTCCTTAACGCAGCCAGCATTGCCAGGAGATACTGCTGCAGAATTTACATTTACTAGACGTAAACATTTCTAGTGCCCACATTGCAGCTTTCACACCAAAATAAATAGAATTCCAGAGACCAGCATGTAAGCTTGTGCTTAAATTAGTGCCATGAAGAGGCTTCCTGAGGCTTTCTTTAAACCTCAGATCAGACCACAGCATGTCTTCACCCATTGTGGTAAGTGAAACTACGTTAGTAGTTCATTTATAGCTCATATGTGTTTCCTAGAAGTGAAAGTCTGGTCTGAGGGCTTGGGGAGCAATAGGATGAGGGTTAAGTTCCTGCTTCGGTTTTCCTTTTCTCCCTTCTCTGTCATATCTCTACACATTTCAGATTCCTCTGAAAACCTCTGGCAGAACATGGCTCTGGTACCGGCTGTCACTCCTGTGGTGTCCAGCGTGATCTCCTGGTCCAGGGGTTACAACTATTCTCTGTGTACAACAGAGTGCTTTGTGTTTTGAGGAAGGATGTGTGGATAAAAGGTAGCTAGGCTGTCATCCATCTATCCATCCATCCATTTATTGAACTGAAAAGGAAGAAAACTTTATTCAACCTTTCTGATTTTTGGCTGGAGTGATAACTTCTTTGAGCTCCATACTCCCTAGCTGGCGGGTTTGCAGTTGTAATGCAGTTGTTTCCAGGTAGTAGTTGGAAGTTTCGAAATTATTGTGGGTTTGTATGCTTTTCTTGGAAGAATTTGATGGAGCATCAAGCTCGTATATCGCAGTTTGGGAACCCCCAGATGTTTGCGGGGGGGTGGGGGGAGGTG